TCCTCTCCCAAAAGTGTCCCCAGCTCCTTAAGAGCACCGGGGCTCTCAGACTGGAGGTGGGACAGTACTACAGTGTCCCGGAAAGTCTCATCAACATAGCTCTCTACCTCCCTTAGCTCCTCCAGTTCAGCCACCCTGGCCTCCAAAGCCCGAACTCTGTCTGAGGGTCAGGAGCTCCTTGCAACGGGTGCACACATATGCCACCCGCCCACAGGGCAGGTAATCATACATGTTACACTTGACACAATAAACAGGATAGCCCCCACTCTGCTTCTGGGCTTCTATCTGCATTTTTCTAATGAATAAATTTAAGTATAAACTGATTCTTTTTAAACCTCTGGAGTATAGATTATTCTAAGAGTTATGTTTTAAAGAAGGTCAGAAGTCACTAGTGCCCTCTAACCTCCCCCTCTAAACGCCCTCTCCAAACTCTCCTGTTAGCTGTTCCTGGTCACTGAGTCACAGGCTTATATAGCTCTGGTAGCTCCTCCCCCTGACTGAGGCTCAGCCAATTAACAGAGGCTTCTAGATTTCAAACCTTTGATGTGAATGTAGCGAAGATATGGATAGAAGTTCAGCTAGCATAAAAGGTGCTTTGTGGCAGAAGCTTAAGATGCAAATTTTGCAGGAAATCCACTAAAAGGTGCAATGTCTTGCTTTTCTTTGGAGAGAATTTAAAAGAAAAATTGAAGCCCAGATACATAAGGTTACTTGAAATAAGTTAAAATCCACTATTTGTATATTTCTAGACACAAGGCAGTCAAACAAGCCAAAATGAGTTTTTCAGGATAAATGTCTGAAAGCAAATAGATCTAAAGAATAGAGGTATTGTAAGTAATTTAATTAAGATAAAGAAACACTTTATTTCCTTCAAACAGATGCACAGAAATTTAAAGTGAAATTTGAAGAGTGTCGGAAGGAAGTAGAAAAGAAAGCCAAGAAGGGTAAGATGTTAATATCCTCTTTGAATTTAGGTTAGTACACCATCTTTTTTTTTTTTCTCTCCTTTTCTAAGTTTCTAATGCCAATGGGTTGGGATAAGGGAATATCTTTAGGTTCCTCGTGGTAGTATTTGATACCTCTTGGCAGACTCACTCTGTGCCTGACTGCAATCTTCAGTCAAGGGACTTTTTCAGTCTGCTAGAGTAATGGTCCAGGGTGTTGAGAACTCTTCTTTCCTTGTAGAAGACTTGCAGTTCTTGGAACATAATTTTTAGGGCAGGTATTCTAGAAGGGCTTTTCATTGTTACCATATGTAGTATGCATCTTTTGCATAAACAACTTTGCCATACTGATATTTATCATCTTGTACTCCACAAATACCCAATTACTTTTTTAAACTAACGTTTGAAACCTGGTTCACTTTTGTTTAAATGGTAAAGCTATTATCAATTTGATGCTTCTGACATCCAACACCTAATTAGAGGACTTGTGAACAACTACTTTCAATTCCATACAGGATTAAAAATGTAGAAGGAAATCTGACCGTTATCTACTAAAGAAGTAAAGTGTGGATTCCTATTGACCTGCAGTTCACACGCTTCAGGAAATGTGTGACGGAGGCAGTGCCGGACACCAAATTCCTTTGCAAATTGTAGCCTTAGTTAAGTCTCACTTAAGCAAAGATTTTTGGAATGGAGGGGTAGAGTTTAGTGACTTGAATTTCAAATATTATCCTTGATTCTAATACCGAGTTATCTAAGGAGGTGGAAACTGTATAGAACCAGCACATCATTATACAAGATATGTCTTGTCAGTAGTTCCTGTGTATCAACTAAAGAACTATTTGAGGACACTGAGGGTGCATCTAGACTGCACTTGGAGCTCAAAATAAGCTACACAACTTGAACTACTCAAACTGCAGAGCTTATTTCAAGTTAACTTCAAAATAGTTCATTTTAAAATTTGGTGCTGTTTACACAGCACTTATTTTGAAATAAATCAGTAGTTCAAACTGCCCTTATTCCTTGTGGAATGAGGTTTACAGGGACCTCAGACTAGCAAGCCTGTTTTGAAATAAAAGCTACTCTGTCTTGAGCATGCCTATTTCCAGATACCAGAGACCTACCCAAATAGTGCTGTCATCCTTCTCCTTTCTAAAGCAGGTGTGCTATTTCTTTAGTAAAAGGAGTTAACAGTTTTCCCATTGCTAATTAAATTTACCATACTGTGTGTAACTTTTTTCTTCAAAAATCTCTTAGCAGGCAAAGAGAAAAATGATGACACAGTTGCTGAAAAATTAGAAGCGCTTTCTTTAAAAGAAGAGAGCAAAAAAGCTGAGGAAAGAAGAGATCAAGGAAAAACTGAAGAAAAGCAATAAAGTCATATAGCACTTCACGTCTTTTCCTTTTTTTTTCTAATTTTTACGAGGGACTCTTAAACTGAATTCCAACATTTGGGTTGTCTTTTTCTAAGATTTTGCCCTTTTGAAAATTCCCAAAAATCCATTCCCCAATCATAAATGTACTGTGCTAACTTTTCCATAGTGGAAACACTTATTTATAGTCATCCAAAAGTGAATAAAGCAAATTTGAAATAGCATCAGAACAGGACTGAATTTTTTCTATATACTTTAAACACTTGTTGTTTTAATTCTTCCGCTTGGTATTTATGTATTTGAGAGTGTGTGTATCTTTGTGTGATGAGATTAGATTATATCAAATGCCTTTATCCCTTCCTGTTATAAAATTATGCAGATGTTTCTTTATGGTATGTTACACTGACTTAAGCCTCTTGCACTAGTGTTTTTTGTTTGCTACTTGAGGATTGTTCCTGCTTGACAGTATTCATAAACATCTTTTGCAGACCACTATACCTATTGATTCCTACTAAGCTATAGGGCCACAGAATTCTAGATAGAATTTACCAGTGCAGTTGTGCTAGTACTATTGCATGATGGCCTCTAATGGCAGGTAGTAGTGGAAAAACACATTATTTGAACTAGTATTGGGTGTAACTTAACAGTAGGATTTTTTCATTACAAAAGGATAAGCAGGAAATCAAGTCTTAATGACTTTCAAAAGCTGTTAACCATTTTAAAGGAGCAAGAGTGCTGTTTATGTGGTTTTTCTAAGCCTGCTTATATAATGTAGAAAAGACTACTCACTCATGTGCCATTCAGTTCTTAAAGTCAGTATTTACCAAAGCTAGTAAGGTGGGTTTTTTAGGGGAGTAGTGTTTTGGTTTTTTTTTGTTTTGTTTTGTGTGTTTGTTTGTGTTTGATGCCATGGAGCTCTAAGTCAGATCTTCCCAAGTTTTTTTGCTGTATACCATGTCATTACCATGTGAGTGGCATAAGAAGGTCTCCCTATTCCTTCCCGTCCAGGACAGAAAGTGACTCACTGTGGCAAGCAAACAGCAGGCTCCAGCTGGGCCTCCTTGGAAAAGTTCTAACAGAATGGGCAATGCTTCACATGAAAGTGCCCTTTCATTCTCTCAGTTTAAAACAGAACTGCAGCTTTCTGGTTGTATACAGGGCAGTAAACAAGAATGCTCAGGAAGACTGCCATGTCTGGGTAGGAAAGCAGCAGGCAGTGTTCCCTCTTGTTCATGTTCCCTCTTGCCACCACCTCCCTTTATGCTCTCCCTAGTCTGAACATCTGGAGCCCCTTGCCACACCTCACAAACCCAAGAAACTTATCGCACCATTGGATTTCAAACTGTAGAAGCAATACTCTTATGTTCTAAATTTGGCACTGTGTTCAGTACTTGCAATCACTTTACTAGAACTAGGATCTGTGGCACTATAAAATACTAAAATGCAAGTATTAGGAGATCCTCAGACTTTCTATTTCAAATATATTAAACCTAGAATTTAAATATGCAAGATGCAAAACTGTTAATATACTCACTAAATGGAAGTAAGTATTCTGGTTCAAGCTGCTCACTTTACAGTGGTTATTAGCCCTGGATCTACCTAGTTTCTAACTCCTGCTAAGCTTTTAAAAATATGACAAATACTGTGAAACAGCCTTTGTATGAGACTTACTCAGTAAATGTCTTTGAAACAGCTATGAGGAAACTATCTGAATCTCAGTAAAACAATTATTTCAAATCTTTTAAAAACTTCAGAGGTGTGGAATGATAGTGAAGGTTCAAAGCCTGCTATTCACCCTCTATCTATATTCCTCAGTTTACAAAATTTAAGTTCTCCAAGGCAAGACAGACTACATGAAAAATGAACCTTAAATAGGGTTTACATTTGTGTAAACTCTGATATAGTAAATCATTCAAATCTGAAACTACAAAAACAGCAGGGCAATTTTTTGGGGGGAGGGGCACTTCTCTGGAGGGAGTGTGGGGTCTAGGTTTGAGGTGGGTGCGGAAGGGCACATGGCATAAGGGACTGGTGTGTAGAATCTGCGTGGATGAAGGAGGGGGTTGTGACTTGGGTCAGGATATTGGGGGTGTAGGATCAGGGAAGGAGTGTGGGTGCAGGAAAGTTCTGGTCTGGGGGAGGGATGTGAAAGGGGGTATAGGGTCTGGGAGGGAGTTGTGACCTGGGGTAGGGGGTGTAGAGGGTTTGGATGTTGACCTGGGGGAGGGAGTTGGGGTGTAGGAGGGGTTGGGGTGCCAAAGGCAGGCACTGGTCAGAAGTTTACCTAAGTGTTTCCTGGCCGGCAGGCACTGGTCAGAAGTTTACCTAAGTGTTTCCTGGCCGGCAGGCACTGGTCAGAAGTTTACCTAAGTGTTTCCTGGCCGGCAGGCACTGGTCAGAAGTTTACCTAAGTGTTTCCTGGCCGGCAGGCACTGGTCAGAAGTTTACCTAAGTGTTTCCTGGCCAGCAGGCTGCAGTATAGTGCCTCTCTGCTCTGCAGAGAGGGGGGAAGCTTCATGCAATCTCCCCACCCCCAGCCCAATCCTCAACTGGAAACAGCCAGCCAATTGGAGCTGAGAGATTGGCTGAGGTCAGTTCTTATTGGCTGGTTGTTTCTGGCCAATAGGAATAAGGGTTGGGCTGTGGGCAGGGTGATTGCAGGAAGCCTCCCCCTCCCTGCAGTGAAGACCATAGTGAGGGTTTTAAACTACAGAAGCTGTGTTTCTGAGGGTCCTGGCAGGGTGGTCCAACGCCTGTATCCGGGTCATTTTGCCTATAAAGAAATACCTGATAAGGAAGGTACTTTGTTATAAGGGGGGACTTATGGCATGATCTATGCTACTATAAGATGGGTGCATAACTGGCTGGATAACTGTTCTCTTCTTATGCTGGAAGGGCATAATGTTTATTGCCCGTTTTCTGTTCAATATCTTTATCAACGATTTAGATGATTGCACATAGTACGATTAAGTTTACAGATGATACCAAGCTGGGAGGGGTTGCAACTGCCTTGGAGAATAAGGTCAAAATGATCTGGAGAAACTAGAGAAATGGTTTGAGGTAAATAGGGTGAAGTTTATTAAAGACAAATGAAAAGTACCTCGCTTAGGAAAGAACAATCAGTTTCACATATATAGGCAGTCCCTGAGTTACGCGGATCTGACTTATGTCGGATCCGCAGTTATGAACGGGG